TATTCTCGTAGAAAAGCTGGCTGGGGTTCGTAAATACATCAGTCCTGCGCTGCCCGCATCCAGGTGCTTCCCGCGATCTTGGCATCATCGTCGGTTCACCAAGTTTGAACGAATTACCGAAACGATTTATACAATCGTCATGTGTAACTGTCAAGTCGAGTAGGATTTGTTCTGCATAGTATACAGAGCATTTGAGATCTCACTCAGTGGCTCAGCCACGCCAGCGATGTAGATGCGGTTGCGTATTCAGCCCGCAGTTGGCGCTGCAGGGTTGCCTTAGCAAAGTTATTATTTTTTTCTATTCAAAGTTAATTTTAGGTGGTGAAAATCGATTTATTGGATGAAGCGTGGACAGTAATGTTACTCTAACTGAGTAGCACATATAAAATTAAAAGAAAAAAAACATAAGACTGAACTTACAGGCTTCAGCGTCTCTCTGAACCAGCTGAGTCTATCTGAACCATTATGAGATCATCATATTTTTAACATAGGGGAGAGTTCGGTATATTGTACCGCCGGGTAAATTGTACCACCCTCATATTTCGTAAAGTATTTATTGAATGTCTGTAATTGCAACACTCAGCGATACACAACTAAAATCAATTAATATCGGCCATGTGGTTTTTGCCGTGACAACAAACACGACACGTGTGTTTTATTTTGAAAAGTATTTTTTCATTGTTTTCAAGTAACTTTTGACAATACATGTTCAGATTGTAATTTTGTTAAATTTAATCACAGGGTGTTTCTAATATATTATTTAGAAGCGTAAATTAGTGTGGATTACAATTATTTGAAACATTTTTCGGTATTTATAAGCTATATTTTTTACCGATTTTTTAAAAGCACTATCACCTAGTCGGCTAAATTGTACCACATCAAATTGTATGGAACTTTACCAAAGGATTTTGAATTTTTTTTTAGTAAATCATATTTTGAAGTTATAATAGCGTAGTTATGTTTGACTAACAATAAATGAAAGCAGAAGACTGGCAAAGTAGATTAGGTACCTACAAGTGTGCGTTACGATAATTGGAATTACAAAACTTGTACTCAAAATCGTGATAATGTGTAAAACAATATCGATTGTCTATGTTATTAACTACTGTTTCTCTTCGTTTCCTAATTTGTTAAGAATGTATCGTATAATATTTTGCCATAGTTTTTTTATAGGCTTGAAATTTATTGAAATCCAATTTAGTAACCCTGTGGTACAAATTCGAGTTCGATAATTATCGAACCGGTTGGCCAAATTGGACCGAAGCTCTGATTTCGTACTTTGTTGATTTCTGCTAAATATACAACAATCATGTTAATTAATACTTATGAAATAGTAAGTTGATAAATCTTTTATTATATACCATGGACATTAGCAAAAACAAAAGAAAACTATGTGTAAAATGGGATTGAAAAAAACTGGTCCAAATTAGCGGACTCTCCCTTAAGTATTATTTAATAACGTAACGTACCTAAGTTTTGACTGTTAGGTAATCTGCGTCTTTTGGAATTGAATTGAATTCATCGAACAATTTTGAAAACTCCAATCGTATTTTGCTTTAACTGGATTATTTAGCTTTGTAAACTCCGTTGAATGTAAAATTCTGCCTTTAAGGCCAACCAAAATTTCTATTCATAGATTTTTTGTACCAAGCATATTGCGTGTTAGCGGGCAATTTGTGCCTACTTTGTCCATTTTTTATTAAGTCTATAATCATAGGAACCTTGTGACAACCTTGAATTGGCTGCAGCGTGATATGCTTGCGAGGCACACGCCCGCCGACGTGCCTCCAGCTTCGTGGAAATGCTCCTTTCAACATTAAACTATGTTAATACTGTCAGTTAAACATTATTTAAATTAACCCCGAAACTAAGAACTGTTGTCATTTTAAGTGACTATTAATTTTGACAACCCTGATCAGCATATCTTAAAAAGAAAACAATTTAAATATAATATCCGTTCGTATTGTCGCGTCTGTGTTTACAAGGGGACTTTTCAAATCGGGTAAAACGGATCTTTTGTTAACCCTGAAACAGATTTTCGATCTTTGTTTGAGTGTAACAAATCCCATTCGATACTTGCATGAATTTGCGCTCTATTTTGATCTTCGACGGCAACTTACGAATATTAAACTGCTGAATATATTTATATGTACGAACTCTTAGTTTATATTCTAGCAGTGTTAGAAAGTGGTGATATCGTCAGTTTCTTTAGCGAATGGCTATGTAGTGTTGCGATTTATTATTCTGGCAGTGGCCGACCGACGGCCGTGGAATAATAAGCCGAGGCTTCAAATCTGTGTGGATGTAGAAAGATTTAGCTTTTTTAACAATGACTAATAGATTTTGCGTGGAGTGACAACGTTCAGCAACAATTATTCTACCTTTCACTGAGTCTGTGTCATCTACACTTCACTAACGTATCTAAAAAGTAAGTCTTAAAACTCACTAATACGTTCTTCACTGACGTTATTTGTGCAGCAATTAAAACATTTGTTGACTAATTTTATTATTCGTGCGATGAAGACGAAAAGTGACGTAATGTATCAAATGTTTGTCGAATTGGATTAAGATAATAATAATTGAATTTCAAAAGAAAATCAATTGATATCAAACTGCCGACCGTGTTTGTAGAAAATAATTCAATAGAAAACAACACGTATGTCGGCGTATAGTCACGTATCTGAGGTGTGGTTGCCTTCTATCAGGTACGTGAGAATATTCGTCTTAACCTTATTTATGTGTTTGAGATCGCAGATATTTGCTGGTTTTGAAATAACCGCGGTGCGTGCGCGCTGATTGCCACTTCCTTGGTGTGAAATCGGTAAGCGAGTTATAAGAGATCACGTAACAACCAATTACATTTACTAATGGCATAGAAATAGGGCTGCTCAACTATTATTTTTGATTTCGAAAACTGTTAGTTTGTTAATTAATTACTCTGGCTGTCTGTTAAGAAATCATTCAAAAATGTGAGGCCATTGAAACGTTTATTTTTAAATTTCATAGTACTCTCAAGTTATTAATCTTTGACTGATCCTATCCATCAATGGATAAAAAAGTAGCAACAAGCTTTTGGTTGCGAAAATCACAAGATATCAATTTATGAAAGACACAATATAGTTTTTGATGGAATTAACGTGGACAAGATATTGGAAAAGCTAAAAGGCCGGGTTTTATGTTTCGTTCAACGAAAGATTACGTAAAATAAGAGTGGAAAATAATAGACGGAAAATTTTACAATAAAAAGGAGGCGAGATATTTTTCTGACAATAGAATCTTACGCTTCGCCGCGAAAAGGTCAAGGGATTATGTGCTATTATTTTTCCCGTGAGTCTAGTTCGTGGCAATTTTGGAAATTGTAAATTTGCGAGAGTGGTTTAATATTGACGCTGCACAGAGGCTAGACCCGATTGAAGTATGGGCATGCCTTCGAATAACTTTGTGCATATTGCCTTGAGGTTGCTATTCCAGCGGCGCTGCAGTAATTAATGCTCATCTATGTATAATTTTAGAAATATGCTTTTGATGCTGTCCCAAAATATGCTTTGGCACGGCTCTACCGTCTAATCGTGTAACTTGCTAATTTTGAAAGTCATACGACTGACTTTCAAAATTAGCAAGCTTTGCTAATCAATTGAGTGGTTAGACACACGCTATGTTAATTTTACATTCGGAAACATGTAAGGTCAGAGAGACAATTTCAATAAATAAATCTCAGAGCAAAAAATTGGCTTTTAAAACTTTTAATTCTAAAAATATTCACCGCTCCAACACTTCCAACTAGCTAGTGAAAGAAACATAGTTTATTTATTTACATAATATTGTTCTAACACTATATTTATGAAGTAGAAGACAACACTATGTCATTTCTAGCTGACTTGTATTAGCAAATTATGGGTTAACAATAAATTTAGTTCCGTGGTTTCTATTTGAACTCCTACATTGGACCGGTTTCGACGACATTCCGCTCTGAGGCCGACTAGTGACAAATAATCACATACTTTGTTGAATATGTATAAGGATTAAGGCATGTATGATCGTTTAGAAAGCTGTTGGCTGACAACACAATAATAGAGCATGGTGAAGCAATTAGTAACACTATGTAAGGTCAGATTAGCATCTTTGTAATGAATGATTTAGCAAAGAATTAGTAGTACTTTTCTTCGGTTGATTAATTACAGTTTACAAACTGCAATCCTTGTTGAGGTTTTGACAGCGTTATAATTATCTGCATTGAACTTTAAAACAGTCAGAAGTCGGAAATTTAGTTATAAAATCAATCAGTCAATTAATAAAAAATAGATTTTGTATTGTTGTTAACTTTTGTATTTTATTTTCAATCAAATTCAGGAAGGCGTGCGAGTTAACTGTTACGTTAATTACACTTTTGAATAGTTACATTAATTATAAGCGTTACCTAATTCCAGACTGGGTAAAACTTGTGATTATATTCTAGCAAAACTATCGCTCGGAAAATGTAGAGAAGAGTTTTAAGCCTAACTTCGGCATAGTTGTAAGCTCTACATGGTACGAAGAATGTAGGAGTTGTAAAGTTGGGCGCATTGTCGCTACATTCCTGCGGCAGCAAGGCCGTCTTGTGAAGGGAGCTGAGACCCAGCTGCCGAGTAATTCTAGATCAACACCGACGCTTTGTTTGCACTTCCTTGAAGCTAAACGAGTTTTGAAAACTTTTTGTGCTTTTTTGAGAACTTTTTTCAAGAGGTTATTAACTTGTCTGTAGGTCTGTTTAAGTTTGCTCAATGGTAGCTGGGATCTTTGTATTTATTTAAATTGTAACAGACAAAATTAACCATCGACTAAATCGAAAAACTACTATCGATTATAAACACACAGCGTATGTTGGCTTTTTCAACTGAAAACTTTTGTTCTGAATCAGTTCAATCAATCCAATTTGTTTCAGAAACGTATTGCGCACAGAAGCCGCTCGTGAAATTTTGTGTTATGATAACGTAGCTTTCGACCTTATTCGTCAAGATTATATCAAACTTTTACTTAAGCATGTTATACCTACTGTTAGCGGGTTAAATCGAATCTACGCATTCCATCACTATTCAATCGATGACTCGTGCACTACACTACGATCTGTCACTTGACTTTCGGTATTTTCGCGCGTATATTAATGCTAAATGTTTTCTTGTTCAAGTTTGCTAATAAATGTGGTTGATAAGTAAATTCAGTCTTTATAGAGTTCAGAAGTGAGATCTGAAACCTATGATGATAGTAACGTGATTTCAAAAGGTTCCAGGTGACCAATGTTTCGTGTTATTTGTCACGAATGTTATCACAAAACGCCCACGATTCTATGATTATAATGGAATATGATGAAGAGAAAATGTCAAGGAAACTACGCTGACAACTGTGTGAGATGCAGAAAAGTATTTAAGTACGAGAAATGATGACGCAAATTATGAAGATACTCCCTCCGTAACTTGGCTTGTGGTCACGTAAGTGGTGAACAATTTGACTAACGATGGCCCCAGAGCAGGTACGATTTATTATTATTATCGATTATTCCATCAGCAACAATATTAACACATTTCCTTTTTGAGCAAAATAATGCATGGAAGTGAATGATGCATCAAATGTTATAGGTATTGTCAGTCTTTACTGATAATGCCAGGAATGTGTGTGAAAGCTATGGTATGTGCTCACTTTAATTGCAATGCCTAATAAACTATTTTAGTAAATCAAATTAAATTGAACGGTGTTAACTTGTTCATGTTTACATTCTGCGAAGAATAACCTGTTGAGATTTAAAATCTACAAAGAATAGATAGAATATGGTCAGATAAATTAAATAAGTTTGGTGATCATGCCCGAGTCACCTCTTGGCATTATTTTGGAGAAAAATTAATAATTTTATTCAAGTAAATTGAAGCTAAGGTCTGTGTTGTGTAAACCAGTTTTAGTATCATGATGTTTCTTTCTTGACGTTGAGCACTATAAGATGAGATAAAATTAATTAGCTTAATTTGTAAATTGAAATTAAGTAAAGCAGCCAGTTATGCCGTTGAACATGTGGTGTATTTTTGGTACTCTTATAGTGATTGATACTTCAATTATTGGGAAACATAATTATTATTATGTTACATGATGCTATATTTTGAGTTAAGATAATGTTAATATTGAACTTTTCCAACTTATCAATTAATTTCTGCTGCCAGTAGTGATTTGGGTTGTATCACTAAAATTGAAAAAAAGTGTGGGTGATTAAAATTTATCCAATTATTATAATTTAAAAAAAAAAAGATATAGAATGTGGTACATTTAACTTAAAGAGTATTCTTGTGTACCAGCCATTATTGTTGGTTATTCTTCCCACATGGTGAAAATGATTTTAATCTTGAGGTTATTTTATTAGCTGTTTAATAAAAAGGTTACTGGTTGTAGCATGTTGTGTGTGCATATTTTTAGATTTGACTTGAGTTTTAGATATGGTGACCTATCTGTCTGCGGGTTGGCCCTGTGGTGAGCAAATCAGTCAAGCACAATACCTGAGTGAAGCTTAACACTGAGCAAGGGTACTCCACATAAGTGATTTGGAGTTGAACAGAAGGTAATGCTATACAAAAGACATCAGCTGTGATATTTGGTGAGTGAAAATGCCATACAAAAGGAATCAGCTGTGATATTTGGTGAGTTGAATTAATGTTTTATTGCAAGGGTTGAGCTGAGACTAGCAGTGCCACTGCGGCTTGGTTGTTTAACTGTGCTTATTCTTGTCATTGGCATGAAATTGCATACAATTAACTTGAGTGTGAATAGATTTTAATAATTAATTAGCTACAGTCTACTGCTAGACTTTAGAACTTCCTAACTGCCGCTAGCAGCCTTAAGCAAAAAGTTATTTAAAGTACTTGGGTTTTTCTTGTGAATGCTTTGAGGATGGTAACTTCATTGAAGTATTTGCAATTGTGCTGTTATCTAAGATAATAACAAGAAGTTTGTTTTGATAAAGTTGCATTTGTGTGTGGAGCAACTTGGTGTTCACCCAAACACAATGTTAAGCATCATATGAGATTAGTTGGATTGAGTGGAAGGAAAAATTAATAAAGGCTTTTCCTTTCACTAAAAATAAATTATCACAAATCAGGGACTTAGTGAATCGAGTCCGGTTGCCTAATGAAGAGCCTATAGAATTTTATTACAATAAATTGGGAATAGGTATGTCATGTCAATTAAGTGATGAAGTGATCACGGAAGCCATCATTGGTACTCTTGGCAACAAATTATTAGAAGTTGGTGCGAAGTCAGCTGGGTGCCGAGACACTGCCTCTCTTCTCCAATATTTGGCCAGTATCAATAATTTAGATGCTAGTGTAGAACAAGACCAACCTGTGACAGCATTGAGAAGTGTCAGTTCTAACAAAAATATAAAATGTTTTGTTTGTGGCAAATTAGGTCACAAGGCAAGTAGATGTCGTAAGAGCAAGGAACACAGATATAAAAGTTCCTCATCTGGTGAAGATTAATTACACAATTAATTTTAGATTATCTGTTTTTCTACGCTTGCCTACGGGGCCTCTACAGCGTATACACTGTGCTTGCTTTCGAAGCCCTATATCACTATTCTGTGAATTATTAACTCCTTGCCTTCGGGGCCTACACAGCGAGTGATACCTGCTTTCGGAGCCTTAATTCACCTTGGTTGTAGTGGCTGACACTTGCTTCCGGGGCCTACACAGTGTTTTGCCTTAATTTGCTCTCGGAGCCTCACACAATACTATCTTCATGTGAATGATGACGCTTGCCTTTGGGGCCTCCATAGCGTGTGTTCTCTTACATTGCCTTGTCTATCGGGACCTTATGGTGCTAATTTGAAAATTATAAATAACTTGAAAAAATCGAACTGCCTAAGGCGGGAATTGAACCCACGACCTTCCGCTTGCCGGGCGACTGCTCTTCCATATGGTGCNTGTGGTTGATAAGTAAATTCAGTCTTTATACTACCTATACTACAACTTTTCACACTCACTTTCACATTTAAATGGGATTTTCATGTAGGTACGAGTACAAGTAAGGTTATTCTGGGACTGATCATCATAAGTGAACTTTATTTATTCTTCACTATTCGTGAAAGAGTTAATCATCATAACGATATCATTATCATTCTACGATTGGAATTTATAAGAAAAATTCTGCAATTCACAAAAACAAATATATCCATTACACTAATAAAATACGATGTTACCTGTCATCTCTTTAAACATAATCGAGATAAAAATTATTACATCCAATCGTTCGTTGATATAAAATTAAATCGGAAATGTCAATTTCGTCTTCTACAATTTCATTTATTGGTGCGTGTTGGTATTTTTTTAATTGTATTGTTGCTGGTTGTCATTTTAAAAGAACATCGGCACTAATTAGTTTCATTATGATGTTTTCTTCAGCCGCATTTATTGCGAACTAGCTTTCCGCCCGCGGCTTCGCCCGCGTGGAATTTTGTCTGTCACAGAAAAACTTTATCGCGCGCGTCTCTGTTTCAAAAACCGGGATAAAAACTATCCTATGTTCTTTCCCGGGACTCAAACTATCTCTATGCCAAATTTCATCAAAATCGGTTGCGAGGTTTAAGCGGTAAAGCGTAACAGACAGACAGACAGACAGACAGACAGACAGACAGACAGACAGACAGACAGACAGACAGACAGACAGACAGACAGACAGACAGAGTTACTTTCGCATTTATAATATTAGTTGGGATGCCGGTTTTTGTCTCTGGTATAAAATAATGCAATCGCAACTAACGCTCGGTTGTTTTCCCGCGCTGCGGCGCCGTACTTGTGGATTTAGGATTTTTATCTGAATCTACTAATCTGAAAGCTACTAGCTTCTTCCTGCGTATTTGCCTGCGTGGCTTATGATAAATTATATCCTACTATGATATTGTGATAAACATTCAGCGTTAGTAGTGGTATCTAAAAACATCTTCACAAAATAATGCGTTTTATAGATTTTTATCGTTATTTAGTAATTTCAGCATTTCAAGTAGGTAGGTACATTAAAATTTTACTTATTTATTTATGAATAAAACCAATGCATCCCACTTACACCTAAACTAAATAGAATAAGGGCTTAATACATTTTATGATGATTCAAGAGAAATCAGCGTCCAGCAATGACCTGAAAGCTTCATAGTTATTATGTATTTGAATCCAGCAGTATAACTGGCCATAAATTCTCGTTAAATACCTTCATAAATTGAATAAATCTCCGTCGCCCGTAGCGAGCGGACTGGTAGGCACCGTTACACCTCAATTCAAGATTCCTAAATTATGCGGGTTCATATGCAAATTACTTGGACACTTGGACACCGACTGGTTCTAACCACTTCGTTTGGAAGTGACAAAACCTTCACTGTTTCTAGTTTTCAGGTCATGTGACGCAAACAGTTTCACGCGGGCGCGCTAATGCTCGAAAAACGAGTCATTTTGACTTTTTTTTGTGACTCACTAAGTGGGCTAAAAGTAAGAATTGTGGTGTTCGATCCTGTCTCGAGTGACATGACGTAATTATGGCAACATAATGCTTCTTTAACGTTTTTAAACGACATTGATGTCAAATTTTAAATTTTTATTGCAAATTCGGTATTATTGCAATTAGATAGAGTGCCACAGTGTAGCTTGACGAACTGCCATCTTCATAAATTCACTGTGTAAATAGCTCGTTCAATTTACTTGCAAGAACAGCTTTCAGCGAGTTACTGAAAGCACTGATATTTAAAGGGTATCACCATTGTATTTTGAGTCTTGTCTCTGTGGAAATAGGGTAGATAGGATAGTCGAGTGGATTGTTCTCTTTAAGAGCGGAAGAGCGGATTGTAGCGGGATAATCGAATTCATTAGCACTCATTGTACTCTAAATAGTGCGGAAGGATGAACTTACTCTACCGGTATATTGTCGATGACAAGGAAAACTTTCCATTTGCATATTTCTATCTCAGAACGTAAACTAGTACCATAATAATCTAAAGATTACAAAACGATGGTTCAATGCCCGCAGAAAATGCGTTTCATCGTCGTAGCACCGTGGAAATTGTTAAGTCAACCTACTTTGAAAACTAATTTTAGAACATCAAATATTGTAGTAATTTTATAAAATGTAAAAACAATTTACCAAAATGATGGCGAAAAATAAAAAAACGAATTGCGATCCTGCCAGGATTCGAACCTGGAATCTTCTGATCCGTAGTCAGACGCGTTATCCATTGCGCCACAGGACCCATGTTGCAAGCGACGAAATAAGCAATCATTTACTGGCCGCCTTCTAAATACGACAAAAGACGATCGTAGTTATTTTTTCGCCAGCGTTTGTTTTGTTTTTTTTCTTTGGCCAGCTCAGTTAAAATATTGAACGGAGACCGACGGTATTTCTCACGCCTACGTTTTCAAACGAAAAAGTTTGGCCCACTATTTTATTACATTACACGAATAAAAAAGCTACTTAGATTGCATAATTATGTCACATTTATATGAATAAAGACAATTTTTAAGTGTATTTCTGCAAACTAGTATATTATTAGTTACATTTATGATATCTGTATTAAGTAATTATTTTAGCAAAGATAAGTGCGCGAGAGAAAACTTTATCTTACCAATTATCATAAAGAGTTACGTAGGCAAAGACCAAGGATAAAGTACAGTACAGATATGCAAATGTTTTTTCATTCAATTTGCAATCGTAAAAATAAGTGTCACTGCATTAATAGTGGCCTATTTCGCAACTCTTCTATTAACGTTTCAGCGAATGCCGAACGTGTTGAAAGTTAGCGCACGCGATGTCCGGCGCATGACCTGCTTAGTATAACGGGTCGGCTGCCGTACAACCGTTGCTCGCGCGCAGATGTATCGCCACGGGTTATATAAGGTAAAAATAAACAGATGACGATAGGGACAGACGCTTCTTCTTCTGCCCATTCCTAATTTATTTGTGGTTGGACCTCCCAATCATGCGTCTCCAGGCGGCTCGGTCCTGGGTCGCCTCTCTGTTGACTTGAGCCTCTTTATGTTCCTTATTTACTATGAACATTCATGTGATTCGGGGTCTTCCTCGTCCTCGGGGTTTAGTTTAGATGTCTAGCACTTTTCTGGTCATATGATCGGGTGGTCGCCTCATAACGTGTCCGTACCACCACGTAGGGACAGAGGCAGAGGCGATTAAAATTAACAAACGACGATCGGGATAGATCAAAAAGTCAGAAAGAAAGAGAGTTGGGAAAGAGTTTAGTAAAATAAACAAGTGGCGATCGGGATGGAGTTGTTGCTATTAACAGGTGACGATCGAGATAGTTTCAAAGGTGAACAAAATAAACAAATGACGATTGGGAGTTGTGGCTAATTGCGTGTGAAGGGTTATGATGATTCGGAAGGTTATTCTCTCGTAGAAGATTGATAATAATTGAAGTTACAGCATGGCTAAGTAATAAAGAATACTGTGCGCTTTGAACTCTGTGAGCGATCTCTTCTAGATAACCTGGTATAAAAGGTTACATACATGATTATGGGGTTTATAAAAGATTTTTCTCATTGATTGCACCCGTTAGCAACTTGTAAGGTAACGAAAAACGTAAAAAGATGATGAGTTAAAGATGAACAAGAGCTGAAATGCCTCCTTCTTCATATTTTAGTACTTTACAGAAGAAGAAAAGTCAATACGTATCTTTTTATTTAACCTACTTTAAACTACTTTTGGCTTGTTTTAGCGTGTCTGACTTAAAACAGGTGACACCGTTTGCTCGGTAATTTGTCATGCCTTTTACACGTTTCATACCATTTAATGTGAGCCAATTCTTAGTATGAAGAGTGAAAATTCAGATATACCGACAGCACTTTCACCCCAGCTGCAATTGGACCACACAATGTCGAGATTTTTAAAACTGAATGCCCGTTTCATTTTCACTATTCATTTTAATGAGATCTACGAGTATACGTGCAATTGTCTCGGTAATTATTGATATATTTTATCTTTTTTGTTTTATTTTATTTGTTTAATCTGTATTTCAGATGTGAAGATACAAATGACGGATTTAATGCCAATGAAAATTCGTCAAATCTATTCAAATAGTCGTAACAGACGAACAATGTGAATAAACTTACATAGAGTCGCATATAGGTGTTAATCGTAATTATTAACGCTGTAAGTGTAATGGATGAATTTCGTCATTTCAAAAATGGAATGCCCGTTTTAATTTCACTATTATTTTATTATTATAATAAGATCATTACGTGCCATTGCAATTGTCTCAACTATAATTCATAATCACTTCAAATCGAACATCAAAATATAGTATTGGCCTAAGTCAACAATACTATCTTTTACGGTTCACAAATCGCAACTAATCATTTACTAGATAGTGTGTTTCTCGTAACTTAATTGGAGAGCGGTTACGTCAAACATAGACTTTATTGCCTATTTATTTAATATAGTTTATGAAATATTGATATTGATTTTACCTTGGGGTTTCGTTAGGATATTCGTTCGCTGTGCGTTCAGCCGTTACTTTGGGCCATTTATTTCGAGGATTTATGCCCCAGCCTACTGTAAACCATTTAGGTTCTTCAAAGCTTACAACCAGTACATGGCTTTAGTGAAGTAAATTTTGATTGATAGACGGTTTTTTATTTTGTATTATTGTAATACAAAAAATACTCGACCGTGACTACTGTAATGAACCTACTCCTAACACACTTTTAGATAAGTTGGAGAAGTTAAAGGGAATCTATGTTATGCTTAGTATAGTGCAAAAAAATACTTGAAAAAGGCAATTTTGGACGTGACTTTTATTACTAAAATGAAAATTGTTCACGTGCAATTAAAAATTGGGCCGTTTGGAGTTAACAGTTTATTAAGAGTACACAATATAAATATTTTGACTGTGGAAAATTGTGTTGCGATGGTAAATTTTACAGTAAATAATATTTTGTGATGTCTGCTATTAATAATGTTAACAGACGATTTGTTAATAGTAAATTGAACTTTTATGATGTCCTTATTTGTGACGTACCTAGGTACTTATTTGCCGGAATCATTTATTGTTGTGCTTATGTGTTTCGTGGTTACACATGCAATTAATGAATACAGATAGTATTATGTATTGCCATGTACTTATATTCGATTCACTAGTCATTCAATTATTTTAGTGTTTATACCTTCACGATAATATTTTACTGTTATTTTATCGTAGAACATAGCACGACTACGAGAATTATGTATGTTGTTACTTACTTATATCAAAAACATTGCAAGGTTAAGGTTAAAAAGTTACGACTATTAAGTAAGTACCTACTTAAGTAGGTAGATAGGTACTCTAGATTTATTGTTATTAAAAATTGGGACACTAAAAGTTTCAACAAAAAATACGAAATGGGACAAAATGCGAAAGTTACTAATAGGTAATGAATAGTAACAGAATATGGAAATTCATGTGGGAGACCTTTGTGACCGAGAGGTCCCGGGTTCGATTCCCGGCCGGGCAGAAATTGAAATGATGAATTTTAATTTCTGTGACGGGTCTGGGTGTTACTATGTATAATATGTATGGATTTAAAAAAAGTATATAATTAGTATATCCGTTAAGCTAGCACCCATAAAACACAAGCATTAAGTTGCTTACTTTGGGGCTAGCTGGCGCTGTGTGAAATTGTCCAAAGATTTATTTATTATTTATTTATTTGTCCAGCAGTGGACGGCTTCATAGGAATATATCCTTTAATCTAATAAGTAGAACAACTGTTATGAACGGCGACATCCTGGCTTTTAGTTTTTATAATTAGTCTCAGAGTAATGCGGCCGCGGTGCAGCAATACTGCAATTAAGCTGGACCGATGCACGCCACTGGCCGAGCAATAAACTGCAGTGCTTAGGCACCGTGCACACTCGGTATTTACTGTAAAATCTTTTCGCGCGTCTGAATGTAAAGGTGAGGACACATTGCCATGTTAGAACTAGTGTAATGTTCTGTCAAGCTTATACGTCTTCATAAACCTATGACGCCACTAAAATAGTAGTTTTGAACATTCAATTAAGTGAATAATTGGATTATAATTGCATCAGATTTTAAATATTGCGCAAATATTTATTAGTTAATGCAAAACTACAAAGTTACCTTACTAATATCCAACGTAATTAAAACGAATTGATAATGCATTCTATAGAGGAGGACAGACTGCGTTCAGAAATGGTCTTATAGAAACTGATGGTAAGCTCCACTTAGTTGCGAATTTGCGATTTAATAGTTAATTGTAACAGTCATGATTTTACATAATCTATTTATTTACAAAGTGTACTCAGACCCTTACTTCAGTTTAGCACTTATCTAGACAAGGACTTCAATCTATATCAGCCCAAGTTCGGCATTCCATAAAAAGCTAGCGTTAAATACTAAAACTCCATTCTCCCGAAAAAAGCATTATGCTTCAGATATTTTCTTTAGGCCCAGTCACGAATGGCTAGTTCCATATTTCATCAATTTTAGTAGGAATTTTCCAACATTGCTTTTTTACAAATATTTATAGTTCAGCTTACTTATCCGGAAAAGAGCCATACAGGAGATAAAGATGAAATAATTACTGTATTGCGTATGATTGTGCATTGTACAGTCGACAGCAAGACAACGTAAACATTGTATCTTACGCAGTTCGACTTTGCAACGAAAATGTATAGTCTGATGTGCTGTCGACTGTACTTTTAATACAATATTTAACAGGGACGTCTGCAGGAGTTAACTAGTTGAATTATTTGCATGTATAAGTAGACAAGGGAGACTATTAGGTATTACTTATCCATTTAGTATATCAGTTGATTTCACCTGATTATGATAAGCTCTATTATATTTATTTTTTGCAATATAACGACATACTAGCTTATTTGTAATATCGGTATCCGCTTTAAACGATTCACCATTTAAATAAAAAGCAAACGAAATACGCACCACTTATTCGCCCCGACAAAAAATTTCACATATGAAAAATATGCCTGTTGTTTAATACATTTCACTCATGTCAAACGTGCCAGTAAATCCAACTATTGGCATAAAGTCTGATTGTGACAAATGAACAGAAAAGCTCCGCCAATTAGCAGTTTTTATGCTGTTATTTTGACGAGATGTGCGGACATTTTTATTTTGCACCTCCGCGCCGCGTCAATGTACGGGGAAAAGTGTTAATAGATCTAATTATCGGTACCATTAAGTCAAAGAATTCTTTTTTTTCCGACAATACAAATTTTCCTAAATTGAGCAGGGTTGTACGAAAGACGGCACATCAAGCTAAACTCAGTGGCGACTTATCTCTTTGCAATACAGGCTAATTTGCAACCTTATAAGACCCAGACCAATACAATCAGGGAATCCGTGCGTAGATCAAACTATAATTTTTGATACGTTCTGAATCTAGTGATTTAGTAGCAAAGCTGCCATTATCATAATAAGTAAGTAGGGTTAAGTCTGTAGTTAGCTACTTCCCACTTACAGACTCCAAAAAAGGTATCAAGAAATATAGGAAATGCACGCGCAATCTTGCCCAAGGTGGAAAGAATGTAGAGTTTTATTTATTCCTGTCCAGCCTCGTAAGCTTGAGGAAAAACATGTTCTTAACTTTCTTACATTTGCCGGAGGCGTCAACAATAATTTTAGGTCTTGTTCCTTTAAGATATACAGAAACACATACAACATAAATTGCTCTTTATATCGTTGTTCATAATCGATTGAGCTTTTTTTGTTTATTTGCTGCCACTTGTATAATTGTGCATCGGCAAATAACGTAGGCTCTATTATCTAACAGATATTAGGCATTATCATGTTTCCAGGTTTTGCAAACGACTTCAAAAAGTTAAAATACTCTGGTTTCACCACACGAAAAGTTTTTGTTTTCTGCTTACGGAATGTGCAAAGTCAGATGATGTTTCTGCGTGTTGTATTTTGGTTAGTTTTTTCTATTTTTGTGTAATGGCAAGGAAAAACTATGTTCAGCAGTGTTTTTGCGGTTTAATAAAATGTTTGTGTGTATGAGTCAGAAATGCTTTTATGTATTTAAGTACGTCTATCCATTGTCTCAAAGTAATTAAGCAAGCTTTATCTACGATCAGCTACTTTTAGGACGTGACTATTTAAAAAGGAAGTTTATTTTTAGTTCCTAGACTTAAGTCTAAAAGTTAATTTGTTGTGAACTTTCAGACAAAGCATTACATTGGTCTTGACGTTTTATGCTCGTCTGTAATTACGAAAGAAATGTCTGGTTACCACAGTAGTTTAGTTTGGCGTAGCATAAAATGTCTTAGGGTGGATTCGACCAAACAAGAGTAAATATTAATCTCAGAATAAATCGTCAGTTATTCGACATTTTGACATATTTCCCATACTGGTTTCAGTATTGACAGTTTTGTCAATGTGCCAGTTATACTAGGAGTTACACTCGGATAAAAGTTTGGTCTAATCCCGTCTTAGGAGTAATAAATGTTTTATACATATACGATATAAGAGTATCACGGTTTACTTTATAGTAAGATTTCCGTGCAAGCTCCGCGGTTCCACCCAGTGACTGCATCTTTCTTTTTAAAAAGTATTATGCTTATGAAGTGTTCCTAAGTGCGATGCACTGCTCAAGACAGGGATGCACTCAGGCGCATCGTGGCCGTGCCGGGAGGGGAGGGCAACCGGTCCGGGCTCGTCACAAGCCGTCGTACACGACTGTCCCCGTTTGCCTTGCCATAAGTGTGTTGTTTATCTCCATCTCTAGTTTTCATTTAGGAAATGTTAAGAGAAACAGAGGTACTTATGTTGCCTCAGATACTTGAAGTTTCTTTTTTAGAAATTATTGACTGTCAATACGAAGGACCTAATCATGAGTTAAGTATTTGATAATGAATCCAGAATCAATCAAAGTTAGGCTGGCATTTATTGTTTTCAGTCTCATTGATAATTAGACAAGATATGATGACAAGATTTGATACTTGCATTTCAACAATATCGCGCGTGTCGATTAACATAATAACTGCATTCGCGCAGCGCGTTGATGTCGTAAGTTTGAAACGCCTTCCGCTTTCTTAGTTTGTCAGCGATCGCTGATCAAACGCAGGTCGCACTGATAACGCGATGAAATCCACGCAGACGGAAGAAAGTTGCCCAGCCGAAAGCGGTCTTGGAATTTTGGTTACACGTATCACCGACACACAGCGGACGCGCCCACCTGCCAGCCACCACACCTGAACCAAAAGTGTGTCAACGGCTGACTCCTCGAACTCGACGATCGATCGTCACAACTTTCACATTACCTTAAATTAACACTGAAGTTAACATAAACATAATTTACCTTTTTCGAGTCGCGGGCGGTTAGTGAACAAAAATCCGGTTATGCACTATCAGGGGATGGGGTTAACGCACGGGCACAGTGCTAGCACAAATTCACCACACTCAAGTCACAGTCTGTCACATGGTCGGGCGGTGCGCTTGCCTCGGCCGCCAGGTCAGCACTGAGGCTTTCTTAAAGGCGGCAGCGCGCGCGCAGGTAAGAATGAGACTACGGTGCCTTCTAGTGTTGTGACAGCGTAAGACAAACCGGTTTCTGAAGGCAACCGGTACTGGAAACCGGTAGGTATTGCAGGTAACGCGATGCTTAAAGTAGAACTACATGAAGAAGGAGAGTTCTGAAAGACAGATGAACTAATTTGATAATCAGCCATTAGTCTGAGTGAAGGGAAATATTACAAAATCTATATTTTTTAAATAAAACTATCAACTTATACCTTTTAATATTCCGTCTAAAAACCACCAATTTATAATACTCAAACAGGTGACAGCAAAGGCATAGTTTAAGATGCTTACATAAGACATAAATGTTATTTTATTTTAGTCGGAAAATATACAGTGTAAAACAAAGTTCCTAAATATTCAGAAACATTTATATCTGATCAACAAACCTCCATAAATCTTTATTAATCCACTTAACATTTAAAACACCTTTTAAATGTTCGTTCGTTCGTTTCAGCCGAATGACGTCCACTGCTGGACAAAGGCCTCCTCCAAGGTCTTCCACAATGCACGGTCCTGCGCTGCCCGCATCCAGGCTCTTCCCGCGACCTTTACCAGATCGTCGGTCCATGTACTTTTAATTGTCTACTTAATTAATTCCTTCACATAAAGGTACACCCAAACACAGTAATAAACAGCAATTAAGATTATTTAGGGATACACATTGTCTCGTGTCGTGACCTTTTCTGCTCAGGGACTCACGATTTTGCCATAAATCGTCCTATGTCAAGGTTGCTAGAGATGGAAAAGTAAAACAATATTACAAGGTTTTTGTAAGAAGTTTTTTTTTACTTATTTTTTTTTTAAATCTCGTGAACTGTGAGTAAAACTTTCAGCAATGTACGATAATAGAATTAGGACATCTATTTTACCCAATTTTTGTCAAAAATTAATTGATAGTTTCATTGAAATAATTATTATTACTTTATTTTGGTAATCCATTTTACAATTATTTTCTAAATATTAGAACCGGTTAATACCGGTTTAACGGTAAGTGACAACACTACCGTTTACACACCGAGGTAGGTATACTTCGCTTGTGTGAGTGGTGATCACAAACTGAGACAGTCAGGTAATTCTATTGTGGCACATTCATCATAATTATTGTCCTTATCTTCATTTTTCGTGGATTCGATTTCGGATTAGATAAACCTTATTGTTTCGATTGAGAACTACGTTTAAGGAATGTTTTTATGGAAATACAATCACTTAGTGCTCAAAATATTCCTATAGAAATTGTATTGTAATACCTCTAAATCTACTAATGACATGTTTATTCTAGTTGAAATTGTAAAGCTTTCCTGTTTATTTATTTGTATGGAATTTAATTTGTCTTTAATCAAAATTTTAGGAACCTCGGTTAAATACCTAATAGGCACCTAGGTAGGAAACTAGGAGTTAAAGCTAATGCATTTAATATAATTTGCATACCTACTGATTGTATTCTTTACAACTACATCTACTTACTTGAAAGACCTAACTTCATAATATTAGAAGTAAGAACATTTTAAGTTCATCCTAACGCAAAGTTTTTAAGATTATGCAATCAGATAAGCGTCAAAACGGTTTATTTACGAAAGTACGACGTTAACCTTATAAATTAAAATACTGGCATAACACTTAAAGGGATCACCATATAGCACAAACTAATTCATATATTAAGACAAAAGTAACACTTGTCTAACAGTATTTTAGCCATGTTCCCGCCACATCTCCGAGCGTGGTTTACACACTAATAATGCCCATGAAATGCTAAACGCAACGGCACATTCACCTCATACATAATGCGACAGTATTTTGAATGATCGAGGTGCTTAACTTTTAAATTTTAAAGTATTTCAATCAGATACTACGGCATGATAAACGCTGAGTTTGTCAGTGAATTTGCTTGACTTTATTATACAATTTTTTCTCATGATTTTCGAGTACGAGTAAATATAATAAGGTTTTCGATCCCAATTCCCAATGCTTTTTATATGATAAACTCAGAAAGATTAGTGCCTCTTGTGTGTTTTTTCCCTTTATCAATAAATCTTACAAAATATATAGGTGAAAGTCTTTTTATTTTCAGCGCCTAAAAACGACTTTCTGGTTTTCTAATGATACAGGAAATTTATCAATTCGTTTTGAATTTCAAGATTTCTCTTATTTTGATGAATGTTACAAGTTTAAAAGCTCGTTCCTTAATCACAATTTAAGCTTTTGGGAGGCACTAAATGTTACGTAATATGACCTGAAACTGAAGAAACTGAAATCAAAAATTTGACATTCTCGTCTTCGTTATCGAAAAGTGAATGAGCTTTAAGAAATTATCAACTTCGACTGTCAAAAAATAAGTTGTATGGGCTTGTAAGATCGAGCTCAGGAATGTGAAACTTTCCCCTGCCCGTGCACAGGTCGAGTGACGTCATCGCGACTCACCCGATGAGGACACTGTCAATGTTAGTGGGACTGTGTCCGTTAAGATTTTATCAGAATGAGGACAGCCCTTTGTTTGAAAAGTAAATGACTATACTTACTATTATACTCGTAGTTGCTTAATCTTTGTGTGTACCTTGTACCTATTCAGTATTCACAAATAGGAAAAAAGTGAAATAGCATTCATCATCATCATCATCAGCCACAGGACGTCCACTGCCGAACATAGGTGTGTAGCGAGCGGCCTGCGTCCAGGCCTTCCTGCTACCTTTATGGCGTTGTCGGCCCACCTCGACGTCCTACGAAATAATATTACAAAATTCTTAATCTATAATAGTCTTATGCGCCTATAAAATAAATCAACAAATTAGCCAACGTTTTAGTTCAATTTGTCATGAAATTCACACAGGAACTTTCCAATTACAAACACAGTAAAATATTGAGATTTCAGCGGCCAAACTAAAGGGCGTTAAGTGATCACATTTCAAAAACTTGGCCAAGTTGAAAACTAGCGGGAATCCCGGATTGTCGGGACCCTTCGCGGGACCGGGATATCTAATTATCACGTGCCTAATATAAGTTGGGGAGTTATCAAAACATCACCTACGCGAAAGTTTTAATTAAAGGCATTTTTGGGTATTCCCAAAAGTTCTGCCAGTCAGTTGTTTACGATGACAAAGCTTCCGTAGTGGACTGCCGTGTTACAATATTTTAGTGTGATAAAGTTTTGAAATGAAGTATTAAACTAAATAACCCGTGGCTCAATTTGAATTCTGGATATTGCCATACTTTTCGGATTACAGCGTTTTTAAAATCACTTTATAAATTCGATAAGGAATTTTATTGTTAAGATGCAGAAATAGCATACCTACACACACAATTCCATTTGTACGTCTAGATAAAAATACAGGAAATTTAGACACAAAATATTATGTCTGTCCGTACGATCTTCGGTGTTGCAACCGTATGTCAATCATATCATTGTAAAGTACAGGCAGAACAGGTGTCAGGTGCCAAGTATTATTTTACTTTGATTTATAATTTAATTTTTGTTTAAATGAATTCTTAGATTATTTCCATAGAAATGTTCAGAATAAACATTTTGTTATTTATTATAATAAGTTACGAGTATAACTAGCTGTTATTGCCAAACTCACGTAATCCAGAACATATTGTGGTCGTTCCGAAATAACTTATGATGATATTCGAAAACTTCCCACAGGAACTCCATTTCGGAACTGGAATTAGGGTATTTGGAATTTAGATTATGCAACCGCATGCAACAAAAGTTTTGATTGCCAACAAAATTCCGCAATTAAAGGTTTATTTGTTTTGCAACTGTTTAATTAATGGCGTAATTGTTTTGAGCCCGCGCAAAAACACGAATCTAAATGGACAAAACTTAATTGCTTCGCGTTAACAACGTTACATAAAATTTGTCAATTATTTAATAGGCGGCATTAGTGATAGCTTGTTTGTTTACTTTATAATGTTTATTTATGAACGTGAGAGTGCAAGGTTAACAAGAAAATTATTATTTTAAAGTTTTAAACAACACAAATGTTGTTTAAGATCGCACCATTTGCACTGCACAGCACATGCATAATTTAGCACATAGTGTTTACCTTGATATAGCGACCACGTATTTTAAAAATAACCATTATTAATTATTTTAGTAGAGAGGTACATTGAAGAAGGGAAAAAGCACATGGTTTTGCGTTATACATATAGGAGGAGGTTTTAATATGGACTACATTTCCATGTTATGGCGGATTTACACTGCGCGGAAAAAGCTCTCTCTTTAGAGTTATTAATTGAACTGTATTAGGTAATACAAATGGTGTTATAGAAAAGTTCAGATCGATTTTACATCCGTTAATTTTACTGCATAATACGCGATGAACAGTTAGGCTGAGGTCCACCACCTAACTTTAACCGTAGCTATAACGGTGTTTTTTGTATAGAGTTTGACAGATTTTTGACGTTTGTTAAAGTTAAAGTAAGATGGCGCAACCCAAGCCAAAAATTCTGAAATCTTCGAATGCTGATACATCCTGTCGCTATTTATGAGACTGGTGACAGAGGTCTGGCCGCTAACTAAGCTAGCGCATTCAGCTAGCTAAACTATTTAGGTTAATGCTATTTGTTAAGCATCTTAATGAGGATGAGTGATGTTTGTAGACTTTTTATCTAAGAGCTTATGGCGGTCTTCTTCTCTTATTTTGTGGACTGAAACAAACTCTCATATTTGCTTAATGCACTTCGGTTTAGTTGCACCACCTAACTTTAATATTAACTATAACGATAACCGGTGATTTTTGTACGGATTTTGACAGTTTTTTGACGAGTGTTAAAGCCAAAGTAAGATGATGCAACCCACCCTTAGAGCATTGTAGGTACTTCATCAACAGCCCTTTACAGTCCACTGCTGGACTATGAGCCTCCTCCACTATAGTGGAGAGTTTTGCCATAATCTCCACGCTTGGCAGGCGGGTTGGAGATCGCAGTTTAAAAGATTGATGTTTTTCAGAGAGCGCTGCTGC